AAYAGACTCTCACAATTCACAGAGGAAAACAGAAAATGATCCAACCCCCCCCCCCAACTCCATCCCGAGAGTGGAATCATCCAGATTGGCCGTCATTCTTGGAGAAATGGGGTAATTAATGGTCCGGTGGAGACGGTGCTCTGCAGACACAGGAGAGAGATGGAGAGGTTTCACTGCACAACTCAGGGCTGGGAGGTGTTTTCTAACCTGAGCATGCAGAGCAAATGTGTCCTTACCACTGCTGGGTCGGTGGAGCCAGTGGCTCTCCTGTGCTCCATCCCAGCCAGGAGAGCACAGCCCTGCAGCTGAGCAGCCCTCCACACCCTCCATACCTGTTTCCAGGTTTTCACCTGCCTTCATCACTGTCACCTGCTTCCTCACCTCCCATCCCAAAGTGGACCCTTGGCTGCTTCTTGCTTTTCCATCTCCTTTTTGATTGGAAATTTATGGAAAAAGAAGCATGAAAATATTCTACTGGGTGGACAGGCCATTTTAAGTCATTTTTTCCTCTTGTCATGAAGATTAAAAAGTATTAATATGGAAATCACTAGCCACTCTGCATTCATTTCCCTACATTTTCTCCTCTTATTGATTACACTTTGACAACAAACCTTAAACAGGACAAAAATAGAAAAACAGTGAGAGTGGAGAGGGAGCAGGAGCAGAGGGGGAACCGGCTTCCCTCACCCCAGACCCTGAGCAGAGGGCAGCTGTTTGTGGGTGTCTCTGACTCCCCAGGAATGGCCAGACCAATGACCTCTAGGAGTCCCCCACCACTCCCTGTTCCAGGGAGCCCCAGTTCTTGCAAAGTCAAAATGTATGTTCTTAAGGCACCTTCATGGGAAGTAAAAGCCTCCCAGGCTCGGTACGTATAATAATGAATTTTTCTCTTTATAAATATCAATAATTGGGCCTGAAAACTATGCAGAAAGTCTTCTTCCTTTGCAGGAACTTTAAACACACACTCTGGCCACCCAGCAACCGCTGGTGTCATGGATCCTTCTGAATACGATCTCTCTTGCACACACACACACTACACACACACACATACAGACACACACACACACTCTTTACCCTAATGAGTCACATCCTCTGAGGTCAAGGGCAGCAGCATGGCCATCACCAGGAGCTCATTGGAAACACAGAATCCAGCCCCACCTAGACCTCCACCCCAGGGTCTGCGTCTGTCAAGATTCCCAGGTGACTCTTGCATGGTAGTCTGCAAAGCTGTCGGAGAACTTCGGGGTCAAATCCACAAAGGAGCTAGTTTCTATCAGAAAGGTCGGGGATAGCAAAAAAAGCCATATTTGATTGCAAGATGTTTGAAATGCACATTGAAATCAGGTCCATGTTATAGCTTCTTAAATCCCACCCCCCTCTTCCAAAGAAGATCGTTCGGAGAGCAAGTTCAATGCCATAGCTCCCAAGCTCTGAATGCAAGCAGGTGTCACAAGCCCTCAACACCTCTCACGGTCGTTAGGTCTACCAGTCTGGGGATCTCACCGTGCCCAGTGGCCACCACCATTCACAGGATAAATGGTCTACCTGGGGAAGGTGGATCCCTCATGTCCAGCACCTCATCAGAGGCAAGGTGGGAGTGCCATTACCCTTCAACCACTCCACATGAAACATCCAGGAAAAGGGAGTGTCACCACCTCTGCACGCCAGGTACCTCGCAGTCAGTACCCATGGTAAGGGTAATTTGTCACTCTTAGACGAAAATGTTGATGTCAAAATTTAAAGCAGTAACTAGCTAAAAGTGGAGCCTAAAAAAAAAAAAAAAAAAAAAAAAAAGGAAGTTATCCAGATGGCCAGAAACCTGAAGAAAAGTAGGAAACAAGCTTAATTGGGGGGGGGGGTGGAATGTAATAGAAGATAACTAGATAATGAAAGTCCAGCCAAACCTGGGACCCAAGGTCCCCCAGAAGCCATCGGGATCAGTGAGATCCTACGTATAAGCTCTTGGTTTCCTTCAGCTTTCTTTGGTGGGTTTCGGTCAGGAGGAAACTGCTGGCTACAGACAGTCTCTAGCATTTGTCGATCAATAGATCAAGGAACAGTCAAAAGAGATAGGAGCCGTCTAGGAAGGGCGGGCACTGGCACTGATGAATGCAGACAGGGCCAATGCAAATACTCGGCTCAATTAGCATTTTTGTGGACCTAGCGATTTCTGAAAACAGTTTTCAGGTCATAGAATACGCAGTGAGTGTCTGCCTTCCTGCAAGAAATAACTCAGAAGTCTCCACTCCTGCTCCTCAGCCTATCCCGCTCCATCTCAGCCTCCTCCCTTCCTCATGCCACTCGGAAGATCTTCCTGAGGGCTGACTTGCTGTGGTCCTGAGTTAGGGCTTCCAATTTTAGTCACGGTGGTGGGCCCTTGATGGCACTCCTACTGTGTTCCGGGCACTTCACGGGTCTCATTTAATCCTCGCAACACTTTCTTATTTACGCATAAAATAACTTAAAGCTCAGACACATGGAAACACCTGTCGTAGGCAAATGAAGTCTGCAAGACTTCAGCCTGTGTTGGTCCAAAATCGACACCCTTCCGGTGGCATCGTCCAGCCAGCATCTCCCATCAGCCTTACTTTTCTGGCCGGTGGGTTTGGGGGTCTCCCCTTCCTAGAAGCTGGCTTCAGACAGCACCTGGCTCAGACCTCATCTCTCCACTCGGAACCCACGATTGCAGGCACCTCCCGAGTGGCGCAGATGGGGCCCCAGTGCCTTTACAAACGGACTTTCTCTTGAAGGTTCAAACGGATGTTGTCTTCCAAAATATGTACGATAGAAGTAGGAGTTAAAGTTGAGCCCTTTGCCAAAGTTCTTCTATGTTCATAAGTACTAAGAGAAATAAGAACAAGACCAAAAGATGCCCAGGGGCTCGTCTGTGAAAGGCATTGCCACGTTGCTCTCCTTGGTCATCGTCTCTCTGGGTCCCTTCATAGGTACCCCTAGGTGCTTCCTATACTCCTGAGTCATTTAGTCAATATGGTGGCCACTACCAAATGCCCTCCAGCACGGCCAGCCCTGTGGTGAAGTAYAGACACAAACTGAGTAGGGAGACCCACATTAGAGCAGGTGCATGGCCAGAGGACGCCACTCCCACTTAGGGGAAAGCCCCCTCTCCTGCCTCTCTGCGTGACACTGGGCGTTTTCATATTAAAAATCAAAATGATTGACTGTCAGCCCTCTGAGGCTACCTGGGATGGAGGCCCCATCGCCACTCTCCAGACCATTTCCTGAGGAGGGGGGAGCAGCTTCCTGGAGACGGACGGCTGCTTTGACTTGGAGATAAGTCACAATCATACCAGGTGTGCCTGCTCGTGTCTCTTTGGACCAGTCCTCACTGTCACCGGCTATAGAACTCTCCCTCCCCCTTTGCTTTCATTGACTACAAACCTGGAAACTGAGCCAAGTCTCCACAGGAGACCTGTGTGGCCACAGTTCCACCTCAAGGGAGTCTCTGGTTGAGAGCGGGGCAGAATTGTTCCCCAAAGTCTTCACCTTAAAGACCCTGGTCCTCGTCCTCGCCACTGTTCTTCACACGGCGAGTGACCCTGCAATATTCTAGGGCATCTTTTCCACCTAACTTCCTAACAGTAAGTCCTTCTGAAAGAAGAGTTTACTGAGTTCATTGATTCTCTTGGCAAGCTTGCAACACTTGGCTTTGAACAGATTAAACCCAGTAAAGATTTCCAATACCAAATTGGAGGACATTACCTGAAAATTCTAAAAGGTTTTCTTAAACTCCAGGAAAAAAGAATCAAGAGGAAAGAAGGAAGGAAAGAAGGAAAAAAAGGGAGGGAGTAAAAGAGGGAGGGAAGGAAATGAATCATATAGAAGTGCATATTTTCAAATCYGAAAGGACAAAACAATTCAACTAACATATATTAACCTTTATTCTATAACAGACATAAATAATTTTATGAATTCATATGGCCTATACAAAAGACAAAATAAAATATTGCACTAAATTTAGATATGGGATATTTGGATTTACAATCAGCTAAACAGATAAATATATACAATTTAAGGAGTTAAGGCAAAACCAGATGATACTTCAAACACGACAGAAAGTTTGAAAAATAGGTGTGATTAAAAACAAGGGCATCCCATCTCCAGTTAATAAAGCCATCATGTCTAAGGAAAAAAATCCCTTAGGTTTTTAATAAAGTAGTTATTATCAATCATGTTAATTAAAGTTGAGCAATAAAGAATAAGATTTCCCACAGAGGAGAGCTGTTTTACCAAGATTTGGGGACCGAGCACTTAGAATTTGGGTAAGCAACTTTTTCCTTGTCAGATTTATGATCTATTTTTCCTATTAGAAAAAATAATTTGGAAAATATGACTCTTTCACATATATAATTAAAATACAATTATGAAGCATTCTTTTCTCTTTCTTTTCTTTTTTCTTTTCTCTCTTTTCTCATTGAAGGAAGCCATACAGGTGATCTCATAGCCAAGGTAAGTTTCCAGGCAAGCCATCTATTACCTTCTTTGTGGAAAAAACACAAAACCAGTCACTAAAACCCATTCCCAGTTTCCTTAAGAAAACAGAACAAACGAATTCCAAAGGAATAAAAAAAAAAAAGCCTAATCAATATATCCACACACAGTACAGTTCTTTGGCAGCATCACATGAACCATTGACTGAAGCCAGAACTTTTAGAGTGTTCTAATTCCTAGACCCGGTTGCCAGTCTTTAAAAATAAATAAATAAAAATTCGCATCTGCAACGAATTCAGTAATTCCAGGAAATTAAATTCAGAACAAACCTTGAGACAGCTTTTGACCGTTACAGGTGAGCATAGGTAAGCATGATCTGCTTTGAGTCCCGATCCAAATATACTCAAACACACACACACACATGAAAATAATCTGAAATTTTGTGTTGGTTCGGACAGGTCTAGAATCCTTAAAGAGAATCCATATTCACCCATGAGAAACCAATAAAAGACATGAATCCAGGGATGAAAAAATGATCTTCCAAAAACTCGGGGGTGGGCTGCCCCTCACCTGGATAAACGGAGAAGTCAGATTCTATAGGGGGAACACCAGGAAGCCGGAGAACGTGGAATACTGCCAGCCTCCAACCAAGTTACCTTTCTCCAGTTTTAGGTAAACCTTGTCCTCTTTGTCCAGGTAGAGCAGGACTCCATTCGTGGCAGCTTCGCGAGTGACATCTTTGTCCCCGGCAAATGCAGATATTACTGGTTTTCCATTTAACATCAAGTTCACCTGCGAGGAAAAACAACATCACTACGGAGCTCTCTTTAAAGTTAAGAGGGGATGAGGTGACCCACTGTGAAATATCCAGGAAACACATCCCCCCTCTTTCAAATGAGTCGACTGTGGGGTCAGATTATGTATCTACTGAGTTGATTTTTTTTTTATTTCTCCCACAGAAATTTCCTTACATTCCTACACACACACACACACACACACACACTCAATACCACCCAGAGAGCAACCTTGTGGAAGTCCTGTGAACATGGGCTTCTCAGCATGCCCACTAAGGTTACTCCTGTCCTTACCCTCCACAGACCCTCTGGGATGAAGAGGGCGGGCCTTGGAGCTGCCCAGTGCTCTTGGACCTGATAGACCAGATGCAGCCAGAGTCTACTAATTCCTTTGCAGGTTTCCACCAACTACAACCTGCACAGCTCTGAAAATCATTTGAAATAACAGTGTGTGTGCACATGAGTGTGCCTGTGAGTGAGTGTTTTCTTCTTCTATTTTCCCTCATAAGAAAAGTGGGCTAAAAATAATCACCACTGCCACTAAAAGAAAGCTTAATGATGGATAATTAGCAAAAGAATGGATTCAGACTTGTATTAACTTTTTTTCCCCCATACTGTGATTTTGATTGTGTGTCAAACATTACATAGATTTCTAAATATTGGAGCTTGGAAAAAGTTTTCTCATGAAAGTAAATTTGCTTACTAGAGAGTCACTCCTTTTTAGTTTAGAAGTAATATTAAGTGAATTAAATCCGAGACTGACCAAGTTAGCCATTCTCTAGGCAGGATAAGTAGATGGAGTGTAATCTACCATTCCCATGGTCGTAATAGATTAAATAACTATCAAGCATAAGATAAAATGTTACCCTAGAATTCCATTAAAATATGTTCTTGTTATTTGTCATTAGCATATTTCAATATCACAGGAAAATAGCTCCATTGCTGTTTTTGAGTGGGAGGGCAAGCCCATTATCTAGAACAACACAGGCCTACTGTCAATCATGTACCCGCAACTGATAAGAATTCAGTACCACCAAAGTAACAGGGTAAACTAAAGCGTAAGTGCAACATTTCATTTAAAAAGAATATCTAATTGCTGTCTTCCACAAGTTTATGTGGATAGTTAACTGTATCTCATAATTTTTTAAACGAGAACAAATTTGTTTTATTTACTTAAAATGAACTTGCAAAGCTCTGCTGGTTTTATAAGTTTTTTCATTACAAGTTCAAATAATTTTTACATGCACCAAATGAAATCAAGATCTTAGAAAGAGATTTGTGTCACTAAATTTTTACCAAACCATATTTTTTAAATGTTTGGATATCAGTTAGGTAATAGCTTTGCTTTTCTACGTGCTATTTGTTACATGCCTCAATAGGCATTGTATGTAAAGAAGAAAATTGGAAATGAAGTGTTTTAAAAAACAAACTATAAATATGGCTGTTTATTTTTATGATGAAAACACATCTTTGAGTAAATACTTAAAAACATAACCCACTAGAGATAAACACAGTTGTTTAGGGAGACAGAGAGAATGGGTCAGAACACATACCTGGATTGTTTGGCTCTGGTAGACTTTAATTACGTGAAAACTGAAACTGTAAATTCCTTTCCTTGGCGCTACAAAGACAGACTCCAATGTGAAAAAATTACCCACATTAACTAGGATCTACAAACAAAAATAATAAATAACAGTAAATTATTATAATACTTTTTTCTATAAGGAAAATATATTTCCTTCCTCCCTTCTTGCCTTTTATCTTTCCTTCCTTCCCTCCCTCCTCTTTCCTCAAAAACTAACTTCAGTAACCACAGAGCATAAAACATCTTTCCTCTTAAGAGACTTGGACCACACACTTGTGTATGGGAAGGCTCCTCTTTCTTTTAAACAGTACAGGAAAAAAAATAAAGTAAATGTTTTGTATTCGTGCCTCAATTTCTAGCAGGGTTCAATGGTTCTGGAAACATCTGAGAAACATATGAGGGCTTAAAGTATTAACTTTGCTCTGAGAATCAGATAAAGGGCATCTGCTATGGAGGTACATTCCCACCATCCACAAGTCTTTGCAATATCCAGAAATGACGTTGCCAAGCCAGCCAATCGACATCCGTGGTCTCTCCGCAGTCATCCCTGGACATATCACACAGAGCCATGGGTACCCCTCCTCTGTGTGACATAATACTTGACACTGAACGGTTGGTGCATAAAGTGATATGAATGCCTGGCCCTTCCCTGAGCCTCTACCGGAGCTCTCCTAAGATCCATGGCCATTTTATTTTTTCATGTTGGTGCCGTCTAAACCTGAATTATAATATTCTGGCAATGAGTCAGCCCTTCTCGGGTGCCAAAGAATAGAGAGTGAATGAGGCACAGTGAGATAGGTGGCCTTTCTGTGTTCCTCTCAGTGTCACACCTTATCCTCCTATCAATCATCTGCTCTTTATTTAATGTCCCCCAAAAAATGAAAAATGAAAAGTGGAACAAGGCTCTGTTTTGAAGAGGGCAGCAGTGGGCTTTGTAGCCCAGGATGTTCAGCATGGTTCTTCTGGTTAGAACATTAACTCTGAATTTCCATAAGTGACCTCATAAGCTAGGTTTGCAATGCCACATAGGCCAGTTGCTTCCTACGAGAAGGGGGGGGGCAGTAAAATAACAAGGATTTCTTCACGTCTCTCCAAGACATAAATCTGTAAGTGGCATTCAAAAAAAATCAGAGATCCCTATAAAGATACATTCTCTAAGTATCAGTGGCAATATGCTACAATCTCTTTTAAAGGCTGCCTTCTTGTCAAAATTAATACATTTTCATGCCTCTTGCATAATTTCCTTAAAATGCACTACTGGCTCTGAGCAACAGTGCCATGACCGTCAGGCAGGTGTACCAGGCTCAACGCCTGCCTTAACATACATGTAGGTGTGTGATTTTATTGAGATTCCACCTTCTTCCCAGTAAGCATCAAATTTCTTTTCTCTGACCTGATGATGGATGATCTTTCAACAAGTCACCTGCTGTGCAATAATCCCCAACAGAGGCTGCACAAAGAATTTTTTTTCAAGCACATTTAAAATAATTTCAGGTGCTTAGGACGGACTTCCTGGCTCAGATATAAGTAGTATAATTCATTAGCAATAATGGAAATAGCAGATTAGTGTTGACTACAAGTAAAGCAGGGTGTTGACTCTACATGGTAATTGGACTATCCAGGCACATCAAATTTATAACTAAATGAGTCTTGTTGTCTCCAAGATGCGTAGCTCCCTGCACAGAAGAGCAAACCCTTCTCCTCTTCTAATTGACAGGAAGGTCATTGAAAAGCACACTCCATTCAGAGGGTGGCAGGATGCCCACAGTATTCCAACATTTAATTAATGCATCAAAATTCAAACCAGCAATGGTGCTCCACTTTATTTCCATCACACTGGAAAATACAGCACCAAAACACCCAAAGGGCTACTTAATTAGTTACAAATTATGGCTATTCCATAGTAATTCCCCAGAGAGACATACTCTGTCTTTGACCAGCTGGAGAAGGCATTACTTAGGAAAATTGAGTAGGGACCACAAATGTCACCTCATCCTTTCCTGGCACATCCTGCAGCACTGTTTAACCTGTGCTCCAGCACACAGTGCTTTGCATACGACTGTGAAGTGTGACTTTGGAATTTTAAGAGAGTCTGGGTACCCTTCGGGTTAAAATGAAAACTCTGGAGTCAGTTTTCCTTAGGACGCTTTGCTCCAGCTAAGCTGATATCCTGGGGTTTCTCATCACTGCCAAACCGCAGAGCACCAAGCGGCAAAACAAAACAGAATTCTGACCCAGCGTTCAGGAGTCCCGCCTCCATCCCCTGCCTTGCACCTCACTGTCTGTCTTTGCCCAGTGATTTGCAGTTCTCTGAAAGGACTGAAGCCCAGGAAGCGGGAACCATCTCCCCAGTGCTTCCCTGGGGGATCCGTGCGGATTCCCCATTCCTTTTCCTCCTCCCTGAGCAACTTTTCTCTGGTCTGCAGGAAGGGCATGTAGCCTACTCTAAGCAGCCACAGCTGTGCCCAGATGGTGAAAGAGGACCTCAGCCTCTCAACTGAGAAGTGAGATCTGAACCCCCCACCCCGACCCCAGCCGTCCTCTGCGGCCACCTGCCGGATCTCTACACAGGGTGTGGAGAGCCGGATCTCTCTTGGGGGAGAAGCTTCTCCACCTGGAGAAACAAGTCAAACGTTTATCCGAAGTCCGCGAGGGCACCACAGAACAGCTTGTGCCACACACGCAGCGGAGTCAGCCAGAGCCAAGGGGCGAAGCTCTGCCCAAGAGATCCCCGCGTCCAGGGACCAGATTCCCCAGGCTCCCGCTGACCTGTTGCTGTTAAACTTGTCCTGTGCTCTAGGGGCCGGCCTCTGTGCTCCCAAGCCTCTCCCCCACCGCGCTGCAGCCTCTGTTAGAGACCAAGAAGGAATGAGGGCCAGGGGTGGGCCGGGGGTGTCACATCAGAAGTTTCAGGCTCCGACATATTTGGGAAGGCGGGTGTCTAAATGAATCCCCACATCCCAATCGGAGGAGCTTAGCCCCACCAGGCAGCCCCTGTCTGAGATGCCTTGAGATTACCCACTCAACCGCCCACCCAACTCCGGGTGCCCCGAATCGCTTGGGGTCTAACCTGATCGAAGTAAATGATGCGCGTTTTGTTGCTCATCTCCGATGGCTCGTGGTTGGTGCTCCGCACGGCTGAAAAGGCCACCTTGGAGTTGGCCGCCCGGACCGATATCCCCAGAGGGGAAGAAGAGGAGCCCTTGGAGTCCGTGGCTGGATTCGAGTCGCACACTACCAGACACTTGCCCTCCAGGACGATGGGCTCGGTGTCGTTCTGCGCCCAGACGGGCAGCCCTGGCAGCGTGAGGGCCAGCAGAACGGCCGGCACCACGGACAGCCCCCGGCGCGCGGAGCCCATGGTGAGCGGCGTGGGCAGCGGCAGCCGGCTGGCGCTTCTGCTCGCCGGCGTCGCCTCCTACCCTGGGATCCCGGAGCTCCGAAAGATGCCAGTGGCTAGATGGACAGCGCTGCAGGAACGACGGCGGCGGCGCGCACACTTCCACCAATTCTGTGGGCTGAAGTCAAAGTCTCCCCTCGAGCTCTCTCGCTGGCTCTGTTGTTACCTTTGTCCTTTAAGGAGCTCATGCAGAACCCCTACCTACCCTCCTCCGCCCAAGAATCAGCCCTGCCTGGGGCCCCTGCACCCACCCTTATTCTTCTTCCACATCTAAAAGTCGCCAAGCTCTCACAATCACACCTCAATAGAAAAATAAATAAATAAATTTTAGCTCCAACCCAAGCACCCCCAGATGAACCACGGAGCAGGAAAGACGGCGGGGACTCAGAGAAGCCGCAAGAGCGGCGGGTGCCAAGCGGTGCAGTGTAGGTCCTGTGTGAGTCTAGCTTGCGCAGGGGCGAATTACAGAGGCTGGAGGTGTTTCCTGGGCTGAGAAGAACGCGAGCCTGTGTTCGCAGCCAGGATGCTGGCGATTCTCGCTTTCCCTTGGTCAAAAATTCCCCGAAGCCTGGAGTCACTCCGACGTAGGTAGGCAGCGGCGAGACCGCACTGAAAGCACAATTTCCCGGGATCAGTTCCAAGGTGCAGGGCASCTGGGCTGGCGGGGTCTCCCTTCCCCAGTCCCTGTGCACAACTTTCTCTCCTCGCGCAGCCGGGAGAGCGCGAAGCGGGCACCCGCGCGCTATTTATAGGAGCACAGCGTCCAGCTGGGGTTGGCTTAAAGCTCGACCCGCCGGCTCCGGGGGAAAGGAGCAAAAGGCGTCCGGTGACCCCAGCTAAGCAGCTCCTGCCTGACGTTTAAGGTACCCGGTAGCAAGCGGGACTCACAACACCGCTGGTTGACAAGGTCTGAGGCCACCTGCCCCCCAAGATCGCGCGGCACTGAAGGTGTGTGCCCAGCGAGAGGCGCCCACAGCCCCGCGCTTCCCCAGCTCGGCGCCGGCTCGCCCCCTCCTCAGTCTGGGCCCACGAGGGGGGCTGTGACTCCTCTCGCCCTCCCCAGCGAGGCACTGCGTCTCTAAGCGCCCTCCGAACCGAGCGCGGCGCCGCCAGCAGGGTTGCGGAGATGGATGGGCCGCGCGGCGGATTCACGGGCGCGCTGCCCGGAACACGGGGACCCACCCGTGCCCCCACCGCGCCTGGCCGGAATTCCGTCCTGCAGAGCCCTCGGGCCTGGAGAACTCAGGGAAGCCTGGGGACAGACCGCGGCCCGTGGGGGCGGCTCGGAGGAGGTGCCAGATTCCTTCCTTCCGCTCAGGGAAGATGCACCTCCAAAGCCGCAGGGGCGCGCGCCTTTCCACTTGCACCGCTAATCCAGCCCTAGCAAGGCCAGAAAAAGTGAAAGGGAGGCAACTCAGCCAAAACAAGTCTTCAGAAACTGTACCCCTTTTAAAAAATCGAAGAAAATAAACACAGCAACTTTCTCCGGTCTTAATGTGCCTCCCTTCTCCCTATGCCACCCCACTGCCATCTTGGCCTCTGATTGGCAAGCGTTATCTTCCTCAGAGAAGCTTGTCTCTGTCTGTGATGGACAATGTGAACTTGACCAAGTCACTGTCTTTGAGAGGGTGTAACTGTACTAAGAGTCTCTTCCACTTTCCAGGTCTATGAGCTTTGGGGACATGGCTCTCGGTACCAAATTCCCTGACTTCCAGATGCCAGAGGGAAGGCACCAAGTCAAAACAGCATCCCCATCCACAACATCAGCCAGGTGGAGCTCCTTGAAAGGTATTGACCACTTATCAGTTGAAGAGATGTGTGTTGAGTCATTGTCCCTGGGGTGGATCACTCTCCACTTAGTTCCTAGTAAACATTCTCCTTATCATGGCATTCAGGCCCATCCAAACAGAAGCCAGACCTGGATCTCCAGTCTTGTACCCTAATAAGGTCCTTTCTGAGGCCAGGTTTGGGTCATAAGCACTATGCCACAATTCCAATTGTTAAAATTGAAGATACTCCTGCAAGCTGGTCATCCCCTGGTTCCCATCTCCCTAGAATCTTGCAACTATTGATTTGATGCCTGGCACCACAGGGCCTCCAGATTCTGTTCCAGTGGGACAGTGTCAGTTTTGAGTGGCAGTTACCATGCTATTTGTTACAATGCTAAATGTCACCAATCTAAGTTGGAACCAAACAGGTAAACTGGTTGGTGCCTTTTGAAGATGGCCATCATCTGCCCATCACTGATGCCCACCCTAGACTCGCACAGCTTCCCACCTGACCCCTCTCTGCACTTTGTAACTCCCTTTCAGCTTTCACCACAGGCTTCCTGGATGACATCTGAAATTGTCTTTTCATTTGATGCTCTTGAGAGCAGGTGCTGAATCGAATTTGGTTCCTCTTTTTCCTCCTGTAGGGGCAAGCACTCTGCCTTCCCTATTCAAGACAGATATTTAGTTACTAAGCCAAGCCTTGGGCTGTTTGATGTCCAGCTGGGAGGAGTTTAAGAAAACACTCTGTTGACTATAGGATTGTTAAATATGCAATAAGCTGTCTTTTCCATCAACCCCAATATATTCTCTCTGCATCCTTTTCTCCTCTAGGCATTTCCTTTCTCCAAGAACTCAGATTTTTTTTAAATCTCTTTCTTCTCTCCTCTTTCCCTTACTGAAAGTTTTCATTTGTAGCCCCTAAAGCTAACCGTGATCATATTAAGGCCTCAATAATTGAGTAAGGAATGACTGAATACATTCAAATGAAATGTAATTTATTAGTCATTCATCTTGTTGTATAAGCTACTTTAAGTGAATCTTGGTAAGATTTAAATTCAAACCCTCCTGGCCATTTGGGAAGAAAGTCTTCTTTCCTCTACTGGAGGGTGTCCTGCTATTCAAGGTGATCTCAAGATGAGGAACATGGTATCATCTGTGGTCTTCCGCTAGGAGAAGCTCTCTGATACTGTGAATCATGGAGTCCTGTTCTTTTCTCCTTTCAGTTGACTGAACAGGGACAGCCTCTGGGTTCCAGGGCTGCCAATTCATTTGTACCAGACGTCCATGACTTTCGTGGCCTGACTTGGCCGGATGAGTTGGGGCTGCCAGATGTTCTCTCTCTGGCATCTGAATGAGATGCCCAGTTGCTTCCAGGACACAGTGGGTGCTAAGGAAGCCAGATCTGTGGTCTCCCAAACTGGGAGACTGCCACTGAGGAGTCACCTGGAAGCCCAAGCAGAGAAGCGTGCTGAAATAAAAGGGAAGACTGACCACACCACAAGGCCAACACCCAGACTGGACCCTGAGCACTTTGGAGAGATAAAGGATYAAGGACATGAATTATCCTTGGCTTCTAGCCCTGAACTCCTACTCACAAGAAATCCAGCAATCTTTCTTCTAACCTCAGATCTCCTTAGATCCTTTTCTATCCTTTCAATAAACCCCTTTCACTTCAACTATTTTTAGTAACCTTCCTGCTCCTTGTCATCCAGAATCCTCCCTGGAGCAGCATTCCTGAAATCATACCACAGAAGTCCGTGCATGTCCTGAAAGAAGGATGAGGAAATCCAACCCTGAACGCTTTGGGAAAGAAGTCATCACCTGCTCCCRACCCACTACTCCTGCTCCAGCCTCCTTGGAAGAAAGGAAAAAGGGATCAAGTCCAAGATTCTCTCCAGCCATAGCAAAAATCTGTTTCCCGCCCCCCCCCCTTTTTCCAGTTAAAAATGTGCTATTAGAGAAACTCTGTGACCCAAATGTCTCCCTGTTCTGAGGTTCACAGATTGTATTTGATGTCCAAGGATGTTCTTTTCTTTTCGCTAGGCCTTAGAGGTAAGACAAGAATGCATTTCACCTCGCCGCTGTTGGGCTCAGTCTCAAAGTAAATGAGAATCTGAACTGATCTTGCGGGGTGAGCTCCTCCAGCATCAGTGAACTGCTGTCCAGCCACCCTCAGAGAAGCCAAGTTTCCAGCAAGGCCAAGGCAGTCAGCGTCCATGAGCAATTTCCTCCTGAAGAAAACATCTCAGAAAGCAAAGACAGACACACGGCCATTCAGCTCAAGGCCTGGCTTGGAGCTGAATGAAAGAAGACTCCACCTCATCCCGTGGAGAGACAGTGCAGGTTAGTGGCATGGACAGTTGGTGGCGGGAAATGGTGGGGACTGGAGAGCAAGCAGTGAGGCTCGGGGCCAGCAAAGGGCTTTGAGTCTTCACCTCTTCAAACCCTTCCCCCCGACAGGGACAGCTCTCCCCGAGCAAATGCTCTTCTTCGAGGGAGAATGAGCGGCTTAAGGAGGAAAAGTCTTTTAAGGAGGCAAACCTACATGGGAGCACTGGGAAGTGACCAGCTACTGAGGAAAACTTCAGGGCTCCTTTCAGAGACAGTCAAATTKCGGACTTTTATAAAGACGGCACTGTGGGGGAAATGAAATGATGATTTAAAATCTCTTTAGTTGTTTCTAGAATTTAAAAATTGTTGGAGACAGTTCCTCTACATCGTTTCTTCCCCTCGTTACATTTACCAACAGGCTCCATGGCTGAGACCTCAAGGAGCAGTAAGATTTCTTGATCAAAGTTGCACATAGATCCAGTAGCAACTGCCTTTTGCCCTTCCCATAATACACTGTGCTTACCCTAGTCATCATACACCACTTTAAAAAAAAAAAAAAAGTTGATGATTTTTTTGTTGTGCTTTTCAGGTTCTTTTTTTTGTTGTTGTATTTTTCCAGGGACTATTAACTGGGGATTATCAACACAGAATTTAGCAGAGAGTAAGAGAAAGAATAAATAATAAATGTTGACTGAATAAAGTAGCTTACTATTGCTCTTGTTTCTCATAAGGAAAATGCATCAAATGTAAYGATATAATATAAACCACTATGATATATGTATATGACAGGAAAAGTAAATTCTTCCAGAAATTTGGGGGAGTGTGAAAGGTATAGTCTATCCTTTGTTATTAAGAATG